GTGTTAGCACCCTTTCCATACGTTCTTATCTACGGGCTCTTAGATGCTAGCTCATGTTTTGAAAATTTCTTGTGCTTTGTATGGTTTGAAAAATGTTTTGAAATGCCTTAGTGCGGCGATTCGCTTTGTGATAACTCTTGTATCAGTCCTCAAGAGTGTTGACAAAGCAAATGTTTTTGAAAGTTGTTTTCGAAATGCGTAAGTGCAAATAGTTTGTTTTGAGCATAGCATCTAACAACTATCTACTTGTACTCGAAAAGGTTGTTCTTTTCCTCCTATCCTTTAGACAATGCTATCCTACTATTAGTGAGTAGGTTGCCCTATCGTAGGATGTTTGAGGGACAATAGAAGGGACATTACGGTCACGAAGGTAACTTGGAAAGAAATTTTAGTAACTGTCCTAAAGTTTCTAAGATCACTTTTAACCGAGGCAGCGTCGAAAGGGTCATCAAGGGACTTGTGATCTTTCAAACTAAAGGACAACCGCTAAAACTTCTCACATTTCGAGAATTGTGACCGTTTTCTGAAGACAACCGAAGTTGGATACCCTAGAGGTATGCATGTGTGATTGATTTGGTTCAAGTATTTATCTTGTGTTGTTAGGTTTGCTAAAGTTTGATTATTAGTCTTGCCATACATGCCTAGTTACTAGCAGTAATATTGTACATAAAATAAAGTGCGGAAAGTAAAACTTACATTATTACATGGCTTCAGGGATGGGGATATTTACAATATAAACCAAAACTTGGGTAGAAAAATAAAGAAAGCAGTAAATTCCTATTAACTATTACATCGCGTCTAACAGTTACATGAATATAAAATGCAAAAGGAAATAAACGCGCGACAAATGAAAACACATTCTAAAACCTAGAGGAAAAATCTTTTTGGTTGTTTTTGTTTAAAAAATGGTGCATTTCTTGGACTTGGGGGCTGAAGAGAAGTTGTAGTGAATTAAATTCTATTCAAAATGAGCTTTGGTTGTGGAAAAATGGGTGAAGTATGTGAGAGTTATTCCTGGTCAAAGTTTGGTTGACTTTTCCTATAGAAGCCCTAATTTAGCAATTTTTACTTTTGATGAATTAGGAGCATTTCTTAAGGAATCATGATCAAACTTTGATCAAATGATGGATATCGTTTCAAAATGTTGATGTTGACCAAAAATCATGAAGTTTGACTGTATTTGGGCCACAGTTGACTTTTGAACTAATACAATTAATTTCCAAGCATTTGAGCAATTGTCTAAGCAAACTTGTTGTGCAAGGCATGAAATTTGTCATGGACAATCTTGAAGACATATTAGGACCATGGAAGACATTTGAGACCTTTGGAGCTCACACATTTTGGTGAAAAATGAAACCCTAGTTGGAAGGCTAATGCTTAGGAGGAGAATTTGTCTGATCAATTCTTGCTCAACCTTGAGCAATTGAGGACCTCTAGGAGTATGTCTTGCATGAAAATGGGAGGGAAAATTTTGGGGTACAACATCAACCCCGGTGGCGGACGACCCTAATCCAGATTTACCCCATTATCAAACCTCTAACCCAAAAAAAAAAACACAATACAAACTGTTAAACGCGAGCTAAGTAGTGAATTATTACCTCCTTTGTCGATCTTTGGGTTTAATTCATCTCTGATTCCCTTTTCTCCCCGTGTTTGTAGGTGTTTGGTGGTGTGGAGATGCTAAAAGCGCACGACGGAAGATGACGAAGAAGAAGAGATGGCAGACTTAGGGTTTCAGATATTGAAACCTTAAGTTGAGGTGATGGATTTACGGCGGCGGTATGGAACGCCTTATCTTCTTTGTGGGTAGTTTTGTTTCTCCGAGTAAACCTTCTATAAAGATTTGTTTTTTCACTCTCTTTCTGTAATTTTTCTGTATATTTTTTCCTCCTCTACTGTAATTTCTCCTCCTTTTTTTATAGTGATTTTAGAAATTATATTTTTAGGGATGAAATTTATGTGTCTGTAATGTTACTTTTCAGAATTGAATTACGTTAATTAGGATTTGATTTTGGTTTAGGAAGTTTATTTGATTTTTCTGTATATCATGAACATTTTAAATAATTTCTATTCTTGTATTGATTCTGATTTTGTTTGATTTGAATATGAAAAGGCTATTTTTGTTTCATTTCAAATTGGTACATAGGTTCTTTGATTGGAAAAAAACTAGTCTTTAGTTTTCTGTTTGATTCAAACAGTAACTGTTTGTACCCTTTTTTTTATCTGGGCCTTGCAATCTATCGTTTTGGGCCCACTGCATGTTCGGACTGTTGCAAAAACCTTCAACACATTTTTTTAACAAAAACCAGCTTCACTTTTAATCAAGGTTTAAAGTATAACATTGATAATAATAATAATGTTAATAATAGTACTGATAAAAATTGGTTATAACAAAGGCAATAATAATTAATAAAAGTGATCAAAAACAAAATGACAACATTAATAACAATAATAATGATGTTTGTACTTAAAACAAAATAATTCTCAAAAAACAAGAAACTGATCGGGCCGGGCCATACATTGTCTGCATTGGACTTTGGGTTTGGACGAAGAAAGCCCAATTCTGGCTTTCTCTTAATCAGGCATTTAACAAGACAAAACAACAATTTATTTTGATCAAGTGTTTTAGAATATAATGTTTAATAATAATATTAACATAATTTAATAATAGTAGAAAGATAAAAGTGATTTTATAATTAAAATAAAATATTCTTTTTAAAAACAAATTCAAAAATTGAAATGGACCATGTTGTTTTATTTCATTAGGCCTTTAAATAAAAGAAATATTAGTTAACATATACATTCAACCTTATCAAAAAACCTAAATGAGCCTCATATAAAAGACATGTTCACACTTCCCTTAATACACCCCACTTAACTAGAAAGGGATCTCTAAAAACCTAATGGGCCATCAGATATTGATGATCCATTTTAGATCAACACACCCCTCTTTCATATTTTACCCCCCCCCCCCCCCCCATAGAAACAAAAATTATATAGTACAGTTTTTTTTAAAAAGGGATCCCAAATTTAATATAAGGGTTGGGAAAATTTGGGGTATGACAAAAGGTACAAAGGATGAAATATTCCATCACATATGTTGTGATGGTATTTGTCGAAAGCAAATTCTACATGAATTTCAAAGTCTCGTCATGCTGACACAAACGAAATAGGTATTCAAGGTCTAAATGTCAATTCAATGGCTCGGGACGTAGTTATTCAAGCGCGCGCGCGCACACACACACACACACACACACACACACACACACACATATATATATATATATATATATATATATATATATATTGAATAATATTGATGAAGTTCAACCTTACATAGATACTCAGAAAAGACTTTTAAAGAAAAATATCCCCGAATGAGTGACAAGTTTTGCTGAGTATGCTCTCGTAGTGAACCTAGATTCAATTAGGACTTTTAAAGGTTGTAATGTGGCCTGATTCATGGTTTAAGAAACAAATGATATAAGGCTTAAACTTTTATTTTATCCCACCCCATTCCTCTTGACGTTCTCCACACCTAAGTTCAATTCACTCAACAGTTGCATTTAATCGGCAAGAGAATTTTGGTAGTCAAGCATTAATGAGAGGTATTGATAAGGTCCAAGCACTGATAATTTTTGAGGTGGAAGTCACCTACTTTCGTTTACAAGTTTGTTTTCATTTTCTTTTTTTCTTTCTTTTTAATCCTTATTTTTGCATAGACTTATTTTTTTTGAATTTTCGGTCCATTGGGATGCACTAACCCTTGCCTAAGTCAACTTTTTTCAGGTTTTTTTAGTTCTTGACTTAGCGAGTTTTTTTTTATAAATATTCTTGAGATTTCGCTTTTGGTTTTGAACGATTGCGACTGTTATGTTGACTTTTGTGAACTTTATCTTCATTGTTTCCCTGATGTTAAATGTTGTGAGGAAGAAGATGTGGTGAGCTTTATCTTTATTGCTTCCTCGATGTTGGATGATGAGCGCAAGGAAGAGGATATGCTAAAACCTCTTATTGATGGACTGATTCTCTCGAGATTAGAATGCACCATTGAATTAACTGAAATCTACCACTCCCCTGGTTAAGGTTAAGGTTTTAAAAAAAAAAATAGAAATAACATCAAATTATGGCTCGAGGGGGTAGACTACGGATTAAGTCCTTATTTCTCCAGTGTTTGGGGAGTGAAATAATCCCTTACATCGCCAGCCATGTCTTACTGTTAAAAATCATACGTCGGCAAATTCAATTATTTTATTTACATCATTCTTCGTTAAAGTTTTTTAAAAGTGAATAACAAAATAGAAAATAAGCGATGGTAAATGAAAGAGTGAATACAAATGTATTGATTTAAAAAACGTGCATGCTCATTTATTGAAATTACTAATCAGAAAGTATAAATTTTACAACAAATAATACTTAGCAAAAAGAAATTACACTTGGAAATGACAAAAGCCTAATGATCCTAGGGATGAGCTTCTTTGTTGATCAATTGACTTCAAAAGATCTTCTTGATGTTCTTTCCTGGTTCAAAGTAAGGGGTGGCCTTTGTCTTTTCTTCTGCTGTACATACTTATCACCTCGCGGTTTCGATTCAAGAACCTAAACAAACTCAAGAGAAATCGGAAGAAGAGGAGGATTCCGGCAACTTATATTTGAAATGCATTTGCGATGTGAAGCGGATTAGCGATTATGAAGTTTAAACTCAAAGAAATTCTATCAATATCATATCAGAGAAGAAAAATGTGAGCAAAATGGAGAGTGGAGATTTGAAGCTTACCGATTGGAGTCGCTCTTGTGAAGCTTCAACAACGACGATAATGAGAAAATACGGTACTCATTCTTACTTTTTCTTCTTCTACCTCTACTTTCTGCATTCGATTCTGTTTTCTATGTTCAATTCCGCTTCTCTGAATCACCGTATTGCTGATTCTTGCATGTTGTAGCAGGGTAATGAAGAATATTGATGATGATTGAAGGTGAAGATCCCCGAAGAAGAGAGAATGAGGGTTGAAGATGAAGATGAGAATTCATCCCAAAAATCTCGGAGAGATTCCAAGGTGAGTCTTTGTGATTTTTCTGTGTATCTTCCAAAAAATGAATCCCCCCTAAAATTTGTTAGAGTTTCTGTTATAAAGCAGTGGAAATTTTGTTACAAATTGGAGCTTCTCATCCCTTGGATCGAAAGTTGGTTACTGAAATGGAGGGCTGAGATTGAATCACGATTGAGAGGTAAATTCTATTATGCTTGAACTGTAAATTTGAGTTTGAGTCAATCCCTCTATTTTTATGATTTACTAATTTCCTCTCTACTTTCTTCTTTTTCTATTTTGATAATTTTCACACGATCAGGCGTAATACTGACATCAAATTGAACCTGAAGTCGTGCTTTAAGTGAAGGAAAAGGAGCATTCTATAGCTTACTAGTATAGACTTCTGCATATTGATGAATATTATAAGCAAGAGTAGATTCTTTTCCTTTGATAATTTTTTGTTTCCAAAATCTGAACTGAGATATGGCTTTGGTTGTTTTGTTTTAGTTTCACCGAGAAAATCTTTTGATAAAGACATCCCTGCTCCTGTGATCTTCTCAATAATCTCCAATGTACACTAAAGCCTCGTCCTTTCAGCTTCAAATTCTATTTTGTTTTAATCAACTTTCCTTGAGAGAACTTGCACGCACTTTGCACTCATTTTTCAATTTCTGTTTTGATCAAACCTCAAACTGGTCTTAAAACTGCAAGCAGACCGCTTATTGAAGAGTAATGCACATCAATTTATGAACTGGTTTTTATCTTGAACTGAATCAATATTAATTTGTTTTGATGCATGGCAGCTTTGGCATAATATTGATCATTGAGCTTTATTTTGTAAAGAATAAACTTGGTTTGGAGAGGAAATTGCACAGTTGTCTCAAAAGAGCCTGGGCAAAGAAGATGAAGATCATGTTTTAGGCTTAGAAACAAGATGTTTTTGTGTAGTTTTAATGTATGTGAATTGGTATTATGTATTGGAAGCACATTTACAGGGACAGACTTATGCTTGGATCTTTTTTTCTCTATTTGATGCAGGGTTGTTTCGACATATTCTAGAGCAAAGTCGAAACGCCGAACAAGGCATTCGTGTTAGCTTTAGAATGAATTAGTCCATGGAAAGCAACGTGTTTGGATTAGATTTCTGGACTGCTCAATTTTCTTCACTGACCCTTTTTCATTTTTCTCGTGCAGGTTTTCGGAAAGATTATAACATTTTGAAACAGGGCAGGGCTGATTATTTTACGTCGAAGATGGTTTAAAATGATGCAGTGCAGGGGCTGTTCTGAGTTCAGAAAGCTAGGAGCCATCTGAAGGATTCGTGTCATAAATTTCATGAAGATTGAGCAGCACCAAATTACTTGACTTGCTATAGCCATCTTGTATACATTTTGATCTTTTGAATGATGATGATGATGATATTAGTTTGTAACTGAATTTGACTATTATCTTGGTTGAATGTTGATTGTAATTTTTTTACAGTTTGAAAATGAATTCAGATAAAACAATGACCCCTTGAGATTATGAGATTGAACTATCATTATTTAAATCACAAGTCTGCCATTTTATTTCTTTCCGTTCACCAAAACAGACACACAATATCATTATTTACAGCATATGAATTAAATTTCATAGTTTCCAAAAAATTGGAAGTAGTCTTTTGTAGTTTAAAGTCCTATCATGTTTAATCAACTTTGTTGATGGATGATGATTCAAAACTAATGTGGTCTTGAATAATGCTTGAAATTATGAAAACCACATGAATTATCCAATCTAGCTTGAATTAATTCGAGAACAAAATATGCACCATGGCCCGTGTGCATTTTAGCGCAAATATTCCATGAGATCATGAAACAAATACATGTCATCTGACTGACCAAACCTAGTCTCAAATTGAATCACAAATTTCTAGAAGCAACCAAGTTCCTTTTGAAAATGCGAGATAAATGAGCTCCTCACCCATATCTTGACTTGATGAAAACTTAATTCAATCCTTAATCGATTGACAAGTAACGTCGCAAGAAAGAAATCTCTCAATTAAATCCCCAAAAATTCTCGAAAGAAAAACCTTGTAAAGAAAGATATTGGGAGAAACCCTAAATGTTGATGACGAACTTCCAATGAGGATAGGATGATGATCCTTGTAGCCTTAATGAGAAAACTAAGTCAAAATAAGAATCATTGTCGAATAAACAACACCAATGCTTAGTGTTGTACCCCAAAAGTTTCCCTCCCACTATTCAAGAATATTCTCCTAGGGTTTTCATTTTCTCAAGGTTTCCAAATAATTAATCAGACAAATTCTCCTCCTAAGCAATTGACCTACAACTAGGGTTTTGAATTTCTCAAGGAAGATTGGCTTTATAAGGTCTTAAGTGGATTTCATAGTTTCTTATATGTCTTCAAGAATGCTCATCCCAAGTTTCATGCCTTGCATCACAAGTTTCCTCAGTCAATGGCTCAGATGATTGAAAATCAACTTTATTGGACAAAAAGTCAATTGTGGTCAACATACAGTCAAACTTTAAGATTTTTGGTCAACATCAATATTTTGAAGTCATATTCATCATTTGATCAATGGTTGACCATGACTCATCAAGAAAACTCCCAAACCATCAAAAGTCAAAAGTTGCCAAATTAGGGTTTTATTAAGGAGAAGTCAACTGAACTTGACCATGCATAAATTTCACATGCTTCATCAGATGTTCCTAAACCAAATATCACTTTGAAGGAAATTCAGTTCTCTACATCTTTGTCTCTCTAAGCCCAAGTCCAAAAAATGCTTCATTTGAGAGATATGGGCCAATACATTACAAGTCATTTTGAAAGTCAACAAAAAGTCATATTTTGTCAAAGCAATTTACAAAAAGATAAAGACTTCAAATGAAAAAGTGATCAATAGGAAAGTTGTAGAAGACATCACGAGGTTTCCAAAACGTCCAAGATCACCTTCATATGACAAAAATTGAGAGAGTTATGATTGGTGCAATTTGAACAATTTTGAGAAAATGCATGAAGTCCAAATTGAGCAAACTTGAAATTTTAAACTAATGGACCTATCTTTCAAGGTCTAAACATGTTCATGACACCTTAGAGGACCTCTAAGTCCATTCATACATTATCATGATTTTTGTTCCTATTTATTTTGTGTTTTATTCAAATAAATTCAAAATAAATTAAATAAATACAAGGTAAATGGATTTAGGCGTGTAAGTCTTATTTTGGATCAGATCAAGAGACCAAAATCACATATCCAAGCTAGCAAAACCGGGTAGAGCTTATTTGAAACAAGTCTTGACAAAATTAGAAAGATTTAAGTTGGTTTTGAAATCAAATCTTAATACCATGATTCCATGAGATTTGTTTCACAATTGTTAACCTAATATTTTGTCCTATAAATACATAACACATTCAGGCCAAGAAAAAACCGCGCATGCTGCCTCCAAAGAGCAACCCTAAAGCTCACAAAAAATTCAATAACTAGGGAAAACTCAAAACCCTATTTGCAGCCAATCTCACTCAAAACCAAAGATCAAATCATTCTCCCGAGACTTCCAGGAGTTCATCCAAGCCTTTTTCCAAGCCAAATCGTACCCATAATAAGCCACCCTAGTCACACCGGTATTGGTAAAATTTTCAAACTCAAACCTTTAAATTACACATTATTGGTTGATTTGATGCATATATACATGTTCATGATGATGTTTGTGATGAACCATTAGTTACAAGCTTTAACGCAGGATTTGAGTTTCACCATGGCAAGGGAAGGAAGCCCGTGAATCTTTGTATTCAATGATACATGCCTTTTTAGGTGAGACTAACCCTACCATTAAGTTTGTAGGATCCAATATAATCGAACTAGGCTTTTTCTTTTTTCTTTTTGATTGATTTTGTAGGATTTTGAAAGAACACCCCATCGGGTATGATGGCGTTTTCCACCCTCCACGGTGGTTTGACTCCTCTAACTTCGTTGGCCCTAGGCGTGGTATGTTTCAATTGGCCCATTTGAAATTATTTGGCCCCACCCTTGCACGCGCGTTCAAGTTTAATTAATTTTATATTTTTTTATTTAATTTTATTTTACATATATAAATAGTCATATGTTTGATGCACAACAACAATTGGCTTAGTGGCGAAGGACATGGTTAGTGATGCTGAAAGCGTGGGTTTGATCCCAGTTTTTGACATTTATTTTTTCGATTTTACAAACTAACACGCAAGTTTAATATACTTTTATTGATAGTCATACTTAAACACCAACAACACAATGGCCTAGTGGAGGATAGCACTCCTGTGAGACAAAGGGGGTGGGTACAAGTCCCACCCCATGCAATTTCTTTTTAATAACCCTTTTTCTTATTTATTTTCATTAATTCATTTTATTTTAATTAAAACTAATAATTAGTAATTAGGGCTATAACTAGTAATTAGGTTTCTTTGGCATATTTTTATTATTAACTAATTAATTAATTTAGAATTAGGTTTTAATTATCTTTTAACACTTAAATTGTTTTCTAGAAAAAAAATACCAAAAACATTAACTTAGAACTTTAGGTCTTTAACATTTTTCCTAACATTATTTTTCCTGTTTTTTGTTATTTAAATTCCTAGAACAAGTGTATAGGTTTGCACAACTGATGTAATAACGTAGATTTATTTTCTCGCATTTTTTCTAATTATGTATCTCTCTCAAAGCCATGTAATAGCGTAAGAAATTTACTTTCCGCACTTTAATTTTCAGTACATATTTAACTGTTAGTAAAATAGGGTTTGTATGACAAGACTAAAATCAACTTAGACAACCCTAATTCAAGATAACTTGATTTCAATCAACACACTTTGCACGTCTAGGGTAACCTCCCTTGTTTCCTTTAGGTAAAAACAATCATGTCCCTCGAACATGGGGACGCTTTAGCATAGTCCCTCGAAAACAAAGATCATAGTCCCTCGATGATCCTTTCGATGTCGCCTTCAGTAAATGATCTAGTCCCTTATGAAAAATTGCTAAAACTTCCTTACGAGTTGCCTTCAACAACTGTATGATGAACCACGCATGTCCCTTCACATCCAATGATAGGGCTTCCTACTAACTAATGGTAGGATATCACTATCTAAAGGAGGAGGAAAAGTACAATAAAGACCTTGAGTAGGTAGACCGTTGTTAATCGCTTACTCACAAACATTTTAAAACAAAAAACATTTATCACACTACACTTTCAAAAAAAATATTTTCTAAAACACCTTGTACGCGTTCTTGAGGATTGATACAAGAACCATTACAAAGATAGCCGTACTTTGGCTTTTCAAAATATTTTTCAAACACTTACACAAAATAGCAATTTTCAAAAGTGAGTTAAGGAATTAAGAGCCTGTGGATAACTACAGATGAAAAGGGTTCTAACTCCTTCCCTTCTCATAACTTACCCCCCGAACTCAAAATCAAAAAAATGTTTTTCCTGTTCTTTTCACCCTTTCCTTCATGGATACTATTGGTCGACTATGGAAACTGATTGCCATCACCACTCAAGAACTTGTCACAAATGCCAGATCTATACTGACAAAGTACACGTGCCTCTAGTCCCTCTGAATATCTTGACTGCTCCTTGGCTATTTGCAATATGGGGAATTGACATGATTGGAGTAATTAAACCTACTTCTTCTAACGGACACCGCTTCATCCTCATCGATATTGATTACTTCACGAAGTGGGTTGAAACAGCCTCATTTGCCTCCGTTACCAAGAATGTTGTCGCTCGGTTCATTAAACATAACCTTATCTATCGGTATGGAATCCCCTAAAGGATTATCACAAACAATGGTAAGAATCTTAATAACACTATAATCATGAAACTCTACACGCAGTTCAAGATCAGGCACTACAACTCTTCTCCTTATCGACCAAAGATGAATGGCACAGATGAAGCCGCCAACAAGAACGTCAAGAAGATTATACAAAAGATGAAGGAGACGTATAAAGATTGGCATGAGATGTTACCATTATCTCTTCATGACTATCGCACTTCTCTACGAACATCAACTGGGGTAACCCCATTCTCCCTAGTTTACGGTATGGAAATTGTCCTACCTGTCGAAGTCCAGATTCCATCTCTAAGGATCATGAAAGACGCATATTTAGAAAAAGACGAGTCGATTCATACTAGGCTGGACCATCTAAATTTGATCGACGAGAAAAGGCTTGCAGCTATTTGTCATGGTCAGATGTACCAAAAGTGTATGATCAAGGCCTTTAACAAGAAAGTCA